AGCTGACCCTGGGAAATGTTGGCAGGATTCTCAGGGAACCAGGTTGTATTCAGGGTAAGAAAACTTTGTTGTTTTTTTTGTTCTGTCTTCAAACTTGGTCAATTTTTGTTTAATTCCTTTCTCCTATATAATAAATCATTTTGTTTTGTCTCCTTACTGATTGCCTGTGGTAAAGCATGATCTCGGGGTAAGTGGTATTCCAGGTTAGCCCATTCTACAGAAAGCGGGACCTAAAATTCTTTCACGACTGAAGGAGAAACTACCTGGAGCTGGTAAAGATTCCACTGCAGCAACTGCGAGGCCTAGTAGAATGTCAGTGGAGCTGAGGCTTGCTGGGATCAAGTTATCCCAGGGAAAACCTTGGTCAGAGATGAGCAGCAGGATAGTGGGGGGAGAAACTTGGGGCTCCAGGGATACCCCGTGGGTGGGTTTGTGATTACCATTATGCAGTAGATAAAGACATTATGAATCTGTGCTTTACAGAGTGCATTACATCTAAATATATTTACAAATGCTGAGAACTTGCAAAGGTAGGAAAAATATTCAAAATACCCCAAAAGAAACTAGTGGATGTATAAAAATGAGTACTTCACTAACCCAATGGGCATTAATAGTATTTATTTTTTTCATAATCAAGTTTATGTTCAAGTAAGTATAGATTTTTATTTATACATGCATCTGTATCACTTAAGTTACATAATTCAAAAGTCTGTTTTTCTCCAGAAAAATCTACAAACCTTATAAAATACAGATTTGGCTACTGTGTTATGAGCCACCGCCTCACATGGGGTCTAATCAAGTAATGAACAAAACTAGTGAAGCACATGGGAAATGTGTGTCAGTATCTGCATTAATGGGTCTGAATCTACTGGGTTGTGCTGGTTTAAGCTTCTGTACACATGAATTTTGATGGGTAACATAACCACAGTTCTTTAGAAAGTGCTACACACTCATGTGACAAAACCAAACAAGGTGTGCATTGAAACAGCCAGCAAATATGATAAAAAAATTCACCTTTAACCTTCAGTCCTTTTTGCAGATATAAATTAGCATTGTTCCTGACCTTTTTTAAGTACAGTAAATTTCCTTGACTATACCTGGGGAGCATTCCTGAATTACTGACATAAAACTGAAAGTACATTTTGACAACGTACAGCTACTACTATTTGTGAAATTACTGTATGCTTCAAGGAAAACGAGTGTGTTTTTAGAAGTCAGTATTAGAAAAAAGCAAGTTGCTTATATTTTAAAACAAGTCTTACTCAAATAGTTACTGTACAAAGCCAACTTCCAACTGAACCTATAATCATGTTAACAGAAGCCCAGGTCAATATATCCATTTCTGACTTTTAAACACAACTGTCAAACTGACACTATTTTTAACCATTTGAGGTGATGCTTTTTAATACAAATATTCAGGGAAAAATTTATAGAACCCTTAAACATTCCAAAATTACTTATACTTCACTAGAACAGGATCAACCCAGTACATTATAAGAATTTGACCAAGCCACCACATTACAAGTCACCTGAATATACTGTATAAAATTCCTGGTTTGCATGTGAACTCCACTGTGGAATATCAATTCATTCACAATGGCAAACTGACTTGCTCGTTCATGCCAACTTAGATAGCGCTGTAATCAGAAGAAAGTTAACTTATTGCTTGATTAAGAAACTTGGGGATTAGTTCTGATTCACAAGAAAGAAGAAATCTGTAAAAAGAGCAAAGGAGGAAAGACAGAGTAAGAAAGGTCAGTGTCCCTCTCCTGAATTCACTCCACAGTTTCAAGGGCTCTTTTTCTCTTAAACTAAGCAGAGACAGAAGCAGGCCACGAACAGAAAAGCCTTTTTTTGTTTTTTGAGTGGGTGTCAATGATAAATTCATTTGTAATCATGTTGCTTTTCTTTAAAAAAAGGAAGGTGTAGCCCCTTTTTTGCTTGCCCAAATGTTTAGGAGGTTTGGTATGCCATGGAGGTTTGTGATGCCAAGAGATGAAGGGACTTAAAAAAATAAAAGCCACACAAAGTCTTGATCTGAATCCCTCAACTGATGCAAGAGTGAGGGATTCAAACTACTTGTCTGTCAGGAGAGGGAATTTTTGCTTAATTCAAGTTTAACATTCTCCTCCCAAACATTTAACCTGGTCAGCTTGTTAAATGCCTGGTCAGTTTCTGCCTAAACTCTGAACAGTCAATTCAGTTTGTAAAACTTCATCTTAAACTGCATGCAGCACCAAATGCTGCTTTTTTATATGGATGGTCAGAGGCGACCCAAGCAGGGTGCAGGGCCCAGGGCAAATCAGCCCATGCGGGGCCCCGTCCCCACTCCGATCCCAGACCTGAAGAAGCTACTGCCACCAGTGGCAACGGGGTTGGGGGGGAGTGGATAAAGAGCAACCGGGCGCGGGGGTGCTGGACTCCGATCCCAGACCTGAAGAAGCTACTGCCACCAGTGGCAACGGGGTTGGGGGGGAGTGGATAGTGAGCAGCTGGACGTGGAGCTGCTGTTCCACCCAGCTCCATGCCGCCACTGCTCCACCCGGCTCTGTGGGGCCCCCCAAAGCAAAGGGCCCTGGGCAGTCACCCCAATTTGCCCCCCCCCGGGGGATGGTCCCATGTATGGTATATCAAGAGTGCCTCCACTGAAAACTCCAACTGTTTCTGGAGTTATTGGTGAATTGGATCCATGTCACTGGGCATAATTTGATTCATTTCTATTGCTGAATACACAAGACAAACTGTTTTATGGTTCCTGACTCAGTGTTTCAGCTAAGATTCAGTTCCAGGCCTCAGGAGGTAAACACTATAATACACTATGCATAGCTTGTCCTGATTGTAGTTAGATCCTTGGGAGTGAGAACGCGCATCTTTAAACTCGATCTTCTACTTACAACTGATGTGCTTAAAGAAAAACCGGTTATGGCCATGAAGGAAATGTCCAGGTATTATACATATTATAATATCATGCATTTTAGCTCTATAAGCACTTAACCTAGATGTTTGTTACACAGTTTCTACGTGTATTAATGGGTGTATTTTTTACTTTAACTTGTAAATATTAAGTTACTGTTAATTCTAATATTTACCTCTTAGGTAAACAAGATATTCACCTCAACAGAAGCGAGGTGTATATAGTTTAATAAACATACTATCTAATTAACCAAAAATATGTGGTAATATCTATTAAGATGCAATTTATCAATATAAGAATTGGTTCTAGACATCATTGCTGCCATAAAACAAATGTGTTAAAAGCCACCTAAAAAACCTAATCTTTCCAGGGAACTTTCCAAAAAGTAAACCTGCTGGATTTGGATGCTGTAGAACAGCAAACTGAGCTGCTGCATTTAGGAGGTCTATTGGTGTGTTAATAAAAAGCAGAAGGATGGGAGTGTAAAGTGTTGGAAAAATAAATAAACAATATTAGAGACCCACGTGCACTTTTATAGCAATCCAACAACCATGGTCAAAGATTAACAGAGACGAAGTCCTGCCAAAACAGCTCTGAAAAGAACATGGAATCTGTATAGTATAGTAAATATTTGTATTTAAGGCTACTATACAAGTCTTAAAACCAGCACTTTTTTTGTTGGTTTTAAGACTCTTCACTCAGACAGCATTCAATTACGGTTGCTTAAAGGTTAAGAAAAGTATTTGCAAGAGCAACACTCCCTCCACTGACTGATTTGCTAATTTTACAGAACAAGGGGGTATCAAAAGTTCTGCATCGTTGTATACAGGGAAAAATATATGCTACTGCACAGAAGGCAATCTAAAAATCTAGTTTGAAACTAGCAATTATACTGTAAAATAACTAATGGCCCAGCTGCAAAAACTAACTGTTATGTCATGCACTGGCCAGCACGGTGCATCCTGAACTAGCAATTGAGCCAGCAAGGGCAGATTTCCTTGTTGCAAGCTTAGACACTATAGAGTATGCCCCAGGCTAGTGGTTAGTGGGTCTACTACAGAATTATGTTACCATCACGCTACACTGTCTTACACACATTGCTGAGTAAAGTCTGTTCCAAAGGGCCAAAAGCTACTGTGCCATAGGCTATATAACAGGTAAATAGTAATGCAGTCTCTAGAGAAGTGAGAACAGAGCCTGGGTGAAAGCCAGGTGGCACCAATACATTAATCTACTTTCAGCAGGTGGTAGCAGTTCTCCACCATGGAGCTGGTTCTTCGTACAGCAAATGTCTACTGATAGTTCTTCATTCATGCATTTCCTACCAAGGTGCACCTCAACAGACTTACTATTTTTGCCTGCCTAATAACCATAGATACATGCAACGTATGTCCCTCCCTGACCCAGTTCATCCAGATTCACGATGCAAAAAGAGACTGTGTTTTTTAGTTGCCATAATGACAAATTAAACATGAATGAAGGGGAGACAGAAAATACAGACCCCTGGACAAAATTACATTTGCCCCATTGGAGAAGTTTTATGCAGTAAGTTGAACTACCCTCTCTGTACTGAGGTAGTTCAACACAGTTCAAGGTATTTCACCCACTAATACTGCAAACTCAGTATTCCTAATCTCTGCTCTTCTGACTGCTCTCCACTGGTTCATCTTTTAACATCTTTGGGCAGGCCATCCACTAGTTCTGCCTCCTTAACTCTCCTGGATCTCCTTAAAGCCTTTTCTACACTCCTGAAGCTATTTCCAAGTCTCAGGACCTCTCCTCATTCATCCATCACACTATATTTCCCTTCTCAAAGGGATCATCTTCTTCATTCAATACACTCCTTATGGCACACTTCCACCTCAACTTTCACTTCAAATGGATTGTAGGGTCTTGTTAGTGACCAAAAGTGTTTTTTTAGAATGATAGAAATGAGATACTTCTCACTCCTGTGCTCTTCAGCACAAAGAACCATCTACAGTGCTGCTAGTGGAAGAACTTACAAAACTTATAAACAAACGGAAGAAATGCAATGTCCAGCTACATCTGAAAAATCAAGGTATCATAGTAAGTTCTAGGTACTAATTTTTCCTTCTTTTTCTTGTAGAGCTGTTCCATGTTTAAGATTATAACATATTTCTAGTTAAGGTAGTTTATCAAGAGATAAACTATCTATTAAGAGAAAAAAAAATCCCAACTGTGAAATATCCTTTCAATAAAATGGATGAAATGAAAATAAGGGGAATTTAGTCTATCAAGAAAACCTCTTGACAGATCTATTACTTTGTGGAACTATCTCCTACATGAAGTTGGCCAATACATTAAGTAACCTGCACTGGCATGAGTTACGTAGGTGATGTAATAGAAACTAAACAGGTAATTTTGTATTTTTTTGTACCTTTTTGGAGCGTTTATTTGTATTTTTAACATGTAGGGAA